AGTGACAGACGTAAGGCTAATTCGATCTGTCATGTAGGTGTGTGTATTACCATGTGACATCTGCTTTCCAAACCCGCTATCTCTCTGGAAGCTTATATGATTACTTGTAATCATCCCTACGAAGGATCACAGGGACATGATAATTTGTTACTCTGAACACCTCAGTTTAGGTCCAACTATAGCGTTAACATATTCTCAGGTCCCTGTGTGTAGGATATGATTCAATGAATGTCACAATGCTGTGTATCTGATATTTCGTACAGATGGAAAATACTCCTGGGCACGGATTCTGTGCTCAAGCCAGCTCTTTTGCAACTCTCCTAAATCAAGTCAACGATCAAAAAGTCAATTGTATTGGAAACAACATTCGGCTTCAAGTCTCTTCAATTTTTTCCCAAAGCTTTGACAAAATGAAATACAGTAAATTATTTATAACTGGAACAAGAGTTAGGCTTGAGCACAAAATCTATGCTTGAGCACGAGAACGGTTTCATGAATACGCGCCCTGGGCTTCCCTACTGTTGCTGATAAAGAAGCAGTCGACCCTGTGGTCATCGTTTGCCATCCTCCAGTAATTTGGGGCTTGCTTCATGAATGAAAATTAGGGCATTTACTACGGTTTTCTCTATAACAAATCGTTACCAATAACAACAACAACAACAACAAATATTTAACACAAACACACTCACGTTGAAAGCATCATGAACGACAACATATTATTGAAAGACATGCGAACAAGAAGATTATAAACGGCAACAAAGCGAGAGAGAGAGAACCACATTAAATCTTCATCTAAAAGAGCATCGGTAGCAAGGTGTGAAATCGACACGAGGAAGTGTTAACCAGTCGTAATTAGAATTCTAAGTCAATCAAACTAGGGCGAAATGTGAACAAATGAAATACATACATCATTGAAAAAGTACCAGGAAAACATGACCAGTCTTCTGCTTCATCTACGAAACCCGCCATATAGAAGTCTAGGTCAAATCTTAGTAATGTCAAGTCCTCAAAATTAGAACTCGGGCAGTGACTACGAAAGCACAAGGCACACTGTAATGTACATAATTAAAAACGCCGATATTCATTAACGCAACGAAGTATAGCATTTCCCAATGACAGGATGGCAACCATAAGATTTGCTTGTAGTCTCCCTGTAACTTTCAAAACCCTGTGTTGTCCGTCAGCATTCAACATTTATCATGGAAATCGATGTCTAAACGAGCTCGTGAATATCAAATCAACTGCTTCATGTAAGTACCGAATGTAGAGGTAATTATGATGTTACTATCGAGAAAGGGAAGCTTCACAATCCAAAAATCGAGGATGTCACGATACTTTATAAGTAAGAATCGAAGAAGGTGGATGATGTAAGCGGGTCTGTGGTGACATTGATTTCAAGCTACGGAGGGAATATACGATCGACGTGGTCAATACATTCACGATTTCATTCTGAACATATTTCATTCCTGCTTTTGAAAAAGAGCAAGCTCCAAAACAACGCACAACCAATAATAGCGTCGCCGTACCCCTTTCTTTGAAAAGAAAACTCTCATTATAACAGAACGAAGGCGTTCCTTCAGTTTGTTTGAAAAGAAATATTTTTTTTCGAGAAAAGAATATTCAACATCGATCAAAAGATCTTTTAAGTTCTTCAAAATCAACATTCCGTTCATTTCACTTCGTGAGTTAACAGTGTCACTATACGAGTGTAATTCTGATTTTACGTTACTAAGAATAATAGCAAGAATTAAAAATAATGATTTGGTTTGGTAGCTATTGCATATAGCTAGCTGGTTGTAAGTTCTAGATTCCAATACAAACGAGGCAGGTCCGGATCCTTATGATTAATCGGTAATCGGAATGAATGTATAACATAATATAACAAAGAGTGTAAAATACAGTTACAACAACATCAACAACAACAACAACAACAACAACAAAGACGACAAATCAATAAAGCAATAGCAGCAGGTAAACAAAACACAGTCAGACACTAACAATAACTTCACACTCCTGTTTTTATCCTGTGGCACCTTTCCTTATATACTCTTAAATTTTACTTGGTTACAACCTCCGTCTTCCATGTACAGTGGGCGCTAGAAGCACATGTCTTGTTTTGTCTACAAATGGACTCTTTAAGCATACCATTGAATTATTTGGGACGGTCAACAGGCTTAGAGTTAAAAAAAAAAAAAAAAAAAAGGTTCGCTGCAGAATAACTCTATAGAAAAGATATAATGGATATATAGATTGTAATATAATGAAATAATTATAAAGCACATGGTTTCAGCGTGTCTCATCCGGCATGCATTCTTAACATAAAACACACATTCGACTTCTACTGAATGTGATTGCATTCAGCAGCATTTCACTGGGTTTTCTTTTGCAAACCATGTGCCTGGGAGTGAGTGAGTAAGGCTTGATTCAAAGCCGTCTTAAAGTATTATATCATTTCCATGTTTGGTCGTTGAACCAAAGCACCAGAGTTAAGTGTTGTTTATCTGGTTAAGAAAATTAATAAATTAATGATGGAAGCTGAAAACTTTTTAATATATTTATGTTACAAGAAAAGATAACTCTAACTCGTTAAACAGCCTTTTAACGACCTGAAATGTCAATTTCAAATGAGATTACATTTGAAATGGCTGTTACTATGTTTTCTCGACGTCATACATAAATAATAAAAGGACTGAATCTCATTAATCAGTCTTTTTAACCGATGCGTGGTACCGCTTGTTGGATTACATACAAAAATCATCCGATTTTTCGTCCACGCCGTGTTTTTGACCAAAGAGTTAGCATATATCATCTTTATTTAATTTGCAATAGGCAACAATGCCTTTGTGCTTTACACACATTTAAACATGACAATGACTTAATGGCAATAATAAATACATATTTATATGAATTTTATAGCAGCAAAACAACACACATTTACAAGGAACATATTCATTCACAATAGTAAGCATGAACACAGGATGCAATAGACTTTAACAAAAAATTAATGCGAAGCGAAGGATGCAAGGAATTAATTTGATTTACACATTAAACAAAATTCAATGTCTAATTTCATTTGCCTTGTAAATAAACAAAGCTAAATTTCTAATAATAAAATTGTTTTCTTAAGAAACAAGTTCAACAAATTTGTCCATATTTGGTCTACAGTAATGTTTTTTTTCAAAAAATTTGATCTAATTTCAGAGTATAACGGGCATTCCATAACAAAATGATATTCATCTTCAATTTTAGTACACACACTACAATATCGCATTTCTGCAGGTATTGGGTTAGGTCTATGCCATCTCCCTGTTTCTATATTTAATCTATGGACAGATATGCGAAGCGCTGTTAAAAATATTTCTATTTTTTTTAACGTTTACTATATCAAGATATTTCTTATAACCAAACTCATTTGATAAACGTATATAACTTCTTGCTCTTGGCGAGTCAACAAGAGCACTATGCCAATTCTGTATAAAAATATCCCTCACTCTGGTCTGAAATAATTCTAAAAATACTTTTTCATCTCCAACTCCTTGTTCAATCCATACATATCCGAAACCATAAGTACATAATAAATTTTTCAATAACTTTGCCCAATTTATCACACGTGACGTTTCCGCTCGTGTGTAAAGCTCACCATAGACTGACTGTACTAAAAAGTTCTTCTGTTTATGAACAATTTTTAACCAATATTTAATATTTTTTACGTATCTTTTAAATTTAAGGGGAAGACATCCTAGTTCTCCATAAACAAAATTGTTTTGCGTAGAAGATTTAACTCCGAGTAACCGCTTACAAAATTTCAAGTGCAGTTTTTCTATATCACCATCGCCGAATGAAAACCCCAAACTTCACATCCGTAACTCAATCCAGGACATACTAGTTTATCAAACAAACCTTACACATGCTTTGGTGTTAAAGTTATAAATTTGTGTAACTGTTTTCCTAATTGAAATAAAAATTTCGAGCCTTGGCCCGATAAAGTTAATTGGGCTTCACCTGGAGTAAAAGCAACCCCTAAAAATGAAAACTTCTTAACTATCTGCATCTCATCCTCACTCAAGTAAAACCTTACATTTTCTGGTAACCTCCTCCTTTCCTGAACATCATCACTTTAGATTTTTCCACATTAATTTTCAATTTCCACCGTTTACAATAGTCGTTAAAAATATTCTATCCGTTTTGTAAACCGACACTGGACCCCAATAAGCAGATACACATAAATTACACGAAAAAATCCGGATTATTACTTATAAATAATAAGTATCTTTCGTGCTTAGTATTAAAGTAACTATCTTCAAGTCACTCGGCATATATTATGGGTGGTCGAGTGGCGACATAGGATAGTGCACTTGTCTTTCACCAAGGGGGCCGGGGTTCGATTCCGGTTTTCTCTTACATTAATTTCGTTAACTATAACTTTTACAATGCTTATTCACATGGACATTCACTGAATGCACATTTCATCATATTGTCATTGATAAAATGCAATAGTAACTACATCTGTTTATGACGGCCTTACTTAGTATTTATTATAAAACTTGACTTTGTAATCAGAATTGTATTTTTAATTATTATCAAAATGTGCTTTTTTATGCTTGCATCTCTGGTCAGTCAGAAGTTTATTTCACAACAAAATGCGTTTTATATTTATTTTTAAATAACGAAAAATTGCCAAAAATTAGAGTGAATCAATTCATAAAAACACTTATGATTCGAACACAATTAATATACATCTGTATAAGAGTAATTGCTGGGAGAGTAAAATAACATCTTAATATATATATTCATCCTATGCCCAGGATAAAAAAAAATCAGATAGAAGAAAAAGGTGTTGTTTGGTTATGTCGTATTTTAAATTATGGATAACTAAGCTAAAATGTAAGTTAACTTTTACAGACTGCCAATATTCTGAATATCCGGAAATCTCGAGCCGGATGCGGATCTAATAGTATACCCTCCGTGTACTAACGTCTCTTATATGTTTAGCATACAGGTGTTCGTGATTTGATCCAGACAAGATGTTTTATGACAATGATCACAGCATTTTGGACCTTGGTCAACAACCCATGCAGCTTGCTACAACACTTTAGTAGTGGAAGCATTGAATGATTCAAGTGATGTAGCTGCAAATCAAGAAGATTAAAACACGAAGCATGTTTACCTCTATGTGGAATTTCATCAAACGCCACAAAAAGAAGTTTGTGTTCAGTGGTTTTCTCGTAGGAGGTAAACAAATTAATTTGTAAAGTAAACAAAAACGAACAACCCAAATCGAGTACTGGTACCTGTGAACGATCGGTGTCCATAAATAACATATTTCAATACCTTTCTTTTGCTTTAAATTTCAAACAGTGAAATAATTATTTTTGAACTAGTATTAACAGAAACTATTCGTTCACGGTAGACTTGTCGGGTCCCATTACATCTGACGTTGCGAAGACTATCTCGGCTACAGTTTTTCTCAATAAAGTACGAACTTCTACTTTTCATACGATTGTGCTGAAGGTAAGATCACTATTCCATCACCACACACCATTATATAGGACAACATACTATGCCCTCATCAAATAAATTTTAGGAAAAATACTAGTTTAGCAACATTAAGTGCTGTCAGTGGATGGGTGCCCTAGCCCTGTTGCACATTACATTTGGTGTGATGACCGTGTGGTAACGTCAGTGAAGGCAAATTCTTCACATTAGTAAAGGTTTCTGTAAATAATTCGACCAAATAGGCATGTATCAAAATGCTGACGGGCACCAATACAGAAGAAGATTCGACTGAAATGCCTATAAATAAACATTGTTGTAAACACGCCTGAATGACGTCACGCAGCAACATTTGTGACATCATCAGGCCTTCCGTGGTTTTACACAAAGGTGCAGGCAGTTTTGCCACCTTCAAACATCTAACTAATTTACAAGTAATCTAAGTGTTTAAATGTAAAATTGTGTATGTTTATGTTACACAAGCCGTACTGATACGAACAGCTCCAAATGTGTGTGTGTAACAATGATTATCATTGAAATACATGGCTTTTCTTAGTTGTGATAGTTAGTTTTCAGTAACTTGAAGAAACTGATTAATGTTGTTTAAGAAAGAGGACGGGTATCGGCTGAGATGATGTCAATTTACATGATACGTAATAAAGACTCCTTCCTTAACAAATATAAACTTCCNATAGTCTTGCACGTCAACGGGAAACATCTGACAAATTAAAATGATTTTCTTGGGCTTGAAAACTTATTCAACAAAGACTGCCCGGCCAGGTGTTGTAAATGTATTTACTTTTTCATGTAAAAATCAGTCTTTGGTAACTGTACATGTCGGTCTCTACGTACAATCAGCATGCGATTGTACAGCAGCACTTTCAGGCCGACAACAAATTTCTTTCAGATACAAATCTAGAACATTTCTAGATGGTATTTTAATTTAAGTGTTGTAAGATTGTTGAATGTAAGACGCAAACAATACTTTTAAAAAGATACTGGTTGATTGTATTCTAAATACACATTGCATGAAAATTGCGGATCTTTCCGATCCTCATTTCCATAAACTCACAGTGGATCGTCAGTACATTGTACATGTACCAAAGTACACTTAGAAGAAAAAAATAATTTACTTGCATTAACTGCAATTAGCGTTAAGATATGGGTATTTTCATGTGTATGTAATAAATTTACACTAAATAACAACCAACTGGCCTCAGATTAATGAGTTTAGTTGACGAGATGTCCGTTGCACAGACCAAATTTTTAAGATTTGTTCTGTTACAAGATATTTCATAACTGTTTTGATTAAAAGTATAGCTTTTTCCTTCTTATACCTCTTCTTGTCAAAATATTTGAAGGCTTTAACTGTGTTGAAGACTATGGTGATGTTATTTACGTCACATCTTATGTATTATGACATCATATGGCATTTTCGTCACATGGTGGCGAATTTGGGTGCATGGCAAATTTGCCTGCACTAACGTTACCTTGTAAGGGCCTGTTCCCAGTGGCTGCAGTGTGAAGGTACATTGGTACTCAGGGAGGACCTGGGGGATTCCCCAGGACAAGACTTCTACTTCTAAATGGTACTGACCAACTGGTGAGTTTATGGAAATGACGATCGGAAAGATCCGCGATTTGATAATTCGTCAGTTTCCATTTTCTTGGGTGGTCAGTGACTGGATGGGTATACGTATACACTGGCACATTGCATAATGGCAATCCAGCAGTCTTGTTTCCAGTAAAACATCAAATACACAAGTAACCTGGACACCAATCAAACACAGTGGTCAAAACAAACATGCACTAGGTGTAGGTTGTCAGAGATGATATATATTTAGTTATTATACTGAAGGTAACAGGTGATTGTGAACTTGTGTCAAAGTTTTACTTTCTACACAAACACTGTGAAGAAAGTAAAAATTTGATATTACGTATTTCCAAACTGATGAATGTTGTTGAAGATTGTGAACTTGTTTTGTTTTGATTGTAAAGATGTTGATTTTTGGAAACATGTACATGGTGTTATTTCCTTTAAAATGTGGCAATTATTGGAGTCTTTGTGTATTTGTGTGTAAAAAAATACTGATCGACTACAAAGTTTATTGTGGATAAAATATAGTTCAGAGTATCACCACAACAATATAGTTTTCGTAAAACCATAGCACAACTATAATGGATATATAAATATATCACATTAAATTTATATTCTTAATTACCTGCTCATACGTACACATCTGCAAATACTTAAAGAAGAGGCAGTAACATTATATTTTCAGTTAGATGATGTTTTGTCATAGCATTGTCATAAACAAATTTCACAATTTATGTATTTTTTTTTTAAATGTTTTTGAATTTACTTTTCTCTTCAGGTGGTGTATACTTGTACAAGTATGCTCAGAGGAGATTTAAAGATATCCAGGAAAAAGAAGCAGCAGAATGCCTGAAACATGCCAGGTTTGTTCTCAAGTTTGATCATGAGTTGTTTAATTCTTACAATGTACATATAATATAGGTATCATAAGTAATAACAACAGTATGATCCAATATTGGCACTGGATCCGAACAAACAAATGTTGTAACCAAATTATTTTATTATCCATTTGTCAACTAACTGGAATCATTTATTTCATGTATGTTATGTCTGTGTTTTAAAACTCAAGGTAACATTTTTTTCTGTCTTTCAAAGGCAACAGCATCATTTTGACAGTAATCAAAGGACGTGTAATATGACAGGTATGGTGCTATCTTATTTCTGGTTTAATGAAGAAACTACAACCTTAATTGATTACAGTACTGGGCAATGACCATGGGAAGCCTGTCATGTTAAACTAGAACTTCAAACTTTACATTTTGTTACACAAATGGTGTATGTTTATATCTGTCTAGAAGTTTACACTTACTGTATTATTCTAGCTTTGTGACCTGCAAACAGTTTCTCTCATACTGAACTATGTTCTCTGTGTATCCTTCTAGAAGTGTCTTGCTCACTGTAGTCCCATAGCCAGTATACTGGTAAAGGTCTGGTATATACATTTAGTACTATGCTTTGTATCTTAACATGACAACAATTCAAGGGAAGATAACTAAAACCTTATTGATGATATAAAATAAACTTCCCAAAACTCATTTATTGCAGGTGTACATAATGAAAGCTGAATGCTTCTTTTAATAATCCCTATGTATTGACTTGTCTTACTGCAGTATTGTGTTGGTTTATTGTATCAAGTAACCAATTAATCTTTGGTTACTTATTTTTCAGTGATATCAATGCTTCCGACCCTGAGAGAAGCTCTGATAAAGAAATTTGATACTGATGCTGTGAAAGAATCTCTCAAAAACAGGTACATAGAAAATATTTGTTGGTTAAAATACCACACTTAAAATGCTTTAAACTCTATTTTTTGTAGCGGACTTATTGTGGTTGGAATAATCTTACAGCTCTAGACAATCGTCCTCTCTAAGAGATATGTTAGGACAAAACAAAACAAAATATCAGATATTAAAAATATTTGATTTGAAAATAAGTTAACTTCATTTTTTTCATTAATGTGATTTGATATGGATGTATGTATTTGCTTATACATGATTGTATAGGTGGTTTTATAAACATTTTGTATCTATTTACCTGAATTTTTTTTATTAACAGTCCAGAAAACAAACTAGAGCTATGGGAAAAATTGAAAGTTATGAGTGAGTATTCAGAATTTACTAAACAATATGTGTATTTTAGCTAATATGTTACAGAGCCTTGTATCCCATACATAAATTGTATTACCAGTACATTCATTAGTTTCACCAACACGCTGTCAATCATCGTTGTCTACTGACTTTATTGATAAAACAAGAACAAGTTTCAGTTATTTGAGGGCCATTTCTACGCTAACATTAACATTGTCTGTATCTGGTGTAATGGATAAATACACTGTTCCACACTGATGTCTGTATCTGGTGTAATAGATTAATACACTGTTCCACACTGATGTCTGTATCTGGTGTAATAGATAAATACACTGTTCCACACTGATGTCTGTATCTGGTGTAATAGATTAATACACTGTTCCACACTGATGTCTGTATCTGGTGTAATAGATAAATACACTGTTCCACACTGATGTCTGTATCTGGTGTAATAGATTAATACACTGTTCCACACTGATGTCTGTATCTGGTGTAATAGATAAATACACTGTTCCACACTGATGTCTGTATCTGGTGTAATAGATTAATACACTGTTCCACACTGATGTCTGTATCTGGTGTAATAGATAAATACACTGTTCCACACTGATGTCTGTATCTGGTGTAATAGATTAATACACTGTTCCACACTGATGTCTGTATCTGGTGTAATAGATAAATACACTGTTCCACACTGATGTCTGTATCTGGTGTAATAGATTAATACACTGTTCCACACTGATGTCTGTATCTGGTGTAATAGATAAATACACTGTTCCACACTGATGTCTGTATCTGGTGTAATAGATTAATACACTGTTCCACACTGATGTCTGTATCTGGTGTAATAGATAAATACACTGTTCCACACTGATGTCTGTATCTGGTGTAATAGATTAATACACTGTTCCACACTGATGTCTGTATCTGGTGTAATAGATAAATACACTGTTCCACACTGATGTCTGTATCTGATGTAATAGATAAATACACTGTTCCACACTGATGTCTGTATCTGATGTAATAGATTAATACATTGTTCCACACTGATGTCTGTATCTGATGTAATAGATTAATACACTGTTCCACACTGATGTCTGTATCTGGTGTTGAAGATATCACAGGTTATAAGTTATAAGCTTACCCGCCCTTCACTATTGTATATTATCTATCTATCCTAGCGGCCTCAGGCAAACAGTTCCCCAGGGCTTCCCCCTACCTCGGGATGATAGTTTTGACTGTTCCCCAAATAGCCATGAAACAATTGTATAATGTAAAACTGCACCCCATTTTTAGTACTTCAGGGGCTGAAATATCTTGAAAAATTTGTCCTGATGAAGACTCGCACATAGAGTCTAAACTAGTTGACCGTAATAAAAACCCATGCATTGGTAACGCTTGAGCGTGTTGTGATTGAATCCTACCTGGATTTATATGCAACGTTTTATTCCATCGCCCTGCATACCTTTCGGTATCCACACTGACAGCAAAGTAGCCCGCCTACTCCACATTGACGTTGGCTCTATCTCCCAGGTTATAAGTTTGTTGTACAGATAAACCCATCGGTGTGAAAGACAAACATTGGTCTGAAAAGTAAACTCATTATAAACATAACATATACAAATACTTCTACAATCTTTATCTTAGGACAATTATGATACAAGTAGTTGTATCAGTTTATATACGACAGTCTTGCTGGCCTGGATGGAAGTGTACAGGGGGTCTTAATGCGGGAGGAAATAACTAACCATAGAAAACCCACTCCAAAACTGATTGTTTATATATACATCTTAAGGTATATAGGGTAAAATCAAGCTGTCACCCGAGGATGTACATTTTATGTCTTTGCTAGAGAATTCTTAAATAGTTATTATTAAAACTGCCAGCAAGCAGGTACTATACGATATGAAATTGTACACCTCTGATATTGGAGTTATAGTAATAAAAAATGTACTACCATTTCATGGATAGTCAGGATGGTGTTTTTTGTAAATAAATAAAATAAATAAATATACAACATTTGATATAGCGCCCTATCTAGCTATTATAAGTCACTCTAAAGTGCTTTACAGTACATAGATATACAATTTTCTACAGTCAATACAATATTGAGGAATTCGCAGGAGCTGCATTATCAGGCGCAAACTACTAGTCCTATGCCACCTGGCTAATATCTCCCTATCTGTGTATGTCTGTGTGTGTGCTGGAGATGTATTGTGTTCTGTTTGTAGTGGGACCGTGCTTCCAACGGTATCATTTATAATCTGTTAATTGTACAGTACATTTATTTAATGTCATGCTATTTAATGTCATCAGTTAATATCCTATTTGACTGCACTTTATATGACTTTACTTTGACCGAATCATGTTTACCTGATTCAGGCCTGACCAGAATCATCTGTGTGCTGTACGGCTGTAGTATCCTCTGTCTTGTTCTGCGTGTTCAGCTCAATATCGTCGGCGGTTACATGTTTCTGGACAGTATGTTCAACCGCAACGGAATGGTCAGTACCCCACTTATCACAAGACGTTTTCTTAGCACTGGTTATAACTATTAGCTTCCCTGAAGTGTCTTTGAAATACATCAGTTTTAGAAATTACTTTCTAATGACCTGTTTGGTATTGCAGATTCATAATGTATATTTTCTACAGCAAAACCTGTCTGAACTGGCCCCTGTCCGAACTGGCCCCTGTCCAATCTGGATCCCTGCCTTTATTGGCTTTGATATTGGGTCCTGGCATTTCCTTTCTAAAATTATTATATGTCAACCCTGTCTTATCTGGACCCTGTCTGTTCTGGAAACATACACAGTCTTTTTCTGATATTGCTGTATATATCATTGTACTTAATATGTACCCTGTTCAATTCCGACCTTTTTATTTTCCTTGGCCAGCTATTCCTGTTAAAGTGTTTACTCTTGATATGCATTACAGATTCTTCTAGTCATACACTGTATCACACCTTTAAAGTATATTGACTTAAATACTGTATAAACTGGACCTTGTGTAAACCGTCCCGGTTTTTTCTTCCAAATCCTGTCCAGATTGGACAGGTTACACTGTTTTTTAATTTGTTGAGATTATCTTCCAATGAAATCAATTTTTTGATATAAATCAATTATATTGGGCAAAAGTTTTTTCTTTTTATACAATTCCTGATACCGGTAGCTTAAGTTTATTTACATATATATTTTCAGACACAGAATATGGCAGTGGTTCCAAAAGAGCTACAAGAGAGATACCTGTCTTTGATACGACACTTCATGGATTATGGTATGGAGGCATTGTTGAAGTTTAGATAAAAAAAGTTTCTATTACACTAACAATTTTGTAACAAAAGCTGGAGTAAAGTGAAATTATTTGTTATTTTGTAACTGTGAATGAGAACATTTAAGCAGATCTCAGATAGACAGTTGTGTATCAGAAATTCTAAGATAAAAGATTCCAGGGAATATTAAATGAAGTTTTCTGAATCAGAGAATCTCAGATAAAGTTGTCTGTATCAGAAAATCTGGAATAAAGTTATCTGAATCAGGGAATTTCAGTCCAACTTTTCTCTATCAGAAAACCTTGGATAAACTTTTCTGTATCATGCAAAATAAGATTCAGTAATACAGAGCAAGAAAATGCACAAATCAAATAAACTATATCTCAATGGAACAATTACCACTTTGGTAAATTAACAACAAATGAATATTAAATCATAACATGTGAACAAGAACTAGACATGATTTCTAGGATGGACATTTGTTTTATTCCCATACTAATTTTATTGCTTACTGAATTACCAAGTTACAGTTATCTCCCTTGTACTATTTGCCGATTAAGTGTCCTCATTTGTCGTACTTGAATTGTTGACTTAGTGTTTTTCTTTACAGGACTGTTTCAGTTGTGTGATGTGATTCATGAAGCTGTAGAAAAAGAAATTAAAAGGTTTGTTCAAATGTATTGGTAGGAAAATAATAAAGTCTCAGCATTAAAATGAAACTTCATTTTTGAAATAAATTCCAGAACAGGAGTTTTCGGGATCTGTGAGACAGATTCATTTTCTGAATATAAGCAATTTTACAAAAAAACAATCCTTGTTTTTATGAATATAATCAAGTTATTAGTTTAATTTCAGATTCTGAGTTTTCACTGTGCTGTGTTATTTTGATAAAATATTTGTCAATGTTTGTATTTCAATTTTTTATTGAATTTTCTCTTGGATGTTACCAAACCTAATACCAAACCAATTACTGGGTAAAACTAGGACTGGCAGACCAATTGCTGGGTATAACTAGGACTGGCAGACCAATTACTGGGTATAACTAGGACTGGCAAACCAATTACTGGGTATAACTAGGACTGGCAAACCAATTACTGGGTATAACTAGGACTGGCAAACCAATTACTGGGTATAACTAGGACTGGCAAACCAATTACTGGGTATAACTAGGACTGGCAAACCAATTACTGGGTATAACTAGGACTGGCAAACCAATTACTGGGTATAACTAGGACTGGCAAACCAATTACTGGGTATAACTAGGACTGGCAAACCAATTACTGGGTATAACTAGGACTGGCAAACCAATTACTGGGTATAACTAGGACTGGCAAACCAATTACTGGGTATAACTAGGACTGGCAAACCAATTACTGGGTATAACTAGGACTGGCAAACCAATTACTGGGTATAACTAGGACTGGCAAACCAATTACTGGGTATAACTAGGACTGGCAAACCAATTACTGGGTATAACTAGGACTGGCAAACCAATTACTGGGTATAACTAGGACTGGCAAACCAATTACTGAGTAAAACTAGGACTGGCAGACCAATTACTGGGTATAACTAGGATTGGCAAACCAATTACTGGGTATAACAAGGACTGGCAGACCAATTACTGGGTATAACTAGGACTGGAAAACCAATTACTGGGTATAACTAGGACTGGCAAACCAATTACTGGGTATAACTAGGACTGGCAAACCAATTACTGGGTATAACTAGGACTGGCAAACCAATAACTGGGTATAACTAGGACTGGCAGACCAATTACTGGGTATAACTAGGACTGGCAAACCAATAACTGGGTATAACTAGGACTGGCAGACCAATTACTGGGTATAACTAGGACTGGCAAACCAATAACTGGGTATAACTAGGACTGGCAGACCAATTACTGGGTATAACTAGGACTGGCTGACCAATTACTGGGTATAACTAGGACTGGCAGATTTCAGTGATTCAAATGACCCTTTTATACTCTATGCTCTACATATTTCTGTCCAATTGTTTCACAAACAAATATGTTTTTGAGATGGTACCAGGAAACTGAAGTACCATATATATTTACAGGAAAAACTAATAAAAATTGTTGGATTCAAATACAGGCTAAATATATATAATGTGTATCCATCACAAAGAATATTTAAAAGATGGTACGTACTAAATCATAAAAAAATGATATTCAAGAATAAAAATCAAACAGTACTGAATTTTGAATATGATATATATGCTTTATGATATTTCGGACTGCCATGTTTCCCTATTCCGTTCCAGTGTGTCTCTGAAGGAGTGTTTATCCTTCCATAACCTTATATTCTGTTCCAGCGTGTCTCTGAAGGAGCGTTTATCCTTCCATAACCTTAAAGCCATCAGTGACCAAATCCGTGAACGTATCGAGAGCAGTCCCGAGATCTCCGACCTTCAGTCTCCCACCCTCATGCTGTGTACCTACATGTTACCATCTGAAAGTCACACCAGTATGGTCAGTGTTAGAGATTACATGTCGAGAAAGACAAGGGTCTCTTACAAACATACTCAGGATTATACACAATGTGAACCTTGGGTCACTTTAGACTGTAGATTTTACATTATTTATTGGATTTCTATATGTACATCTTCAAATAGATAATAGATTGGAGAAGGATGAACAAACTGACACAAGTTGATAGTGAAAGAATAGACAAAGACTGGAAATATATTACTGCCAAAATAGTGAAAGAATAGACAAAGACTGGAAATATATTACTGCCAAAACAGTGAAAGAATAGACAAAGACTGGAAATATATTACTGCCAAAACAGTGAAAGAATAGACAAAGACTGGAAATATATTACTGCCAAAACAAAGAAATGGAATTGTAATGATTACACTGTAGGTGTTGTCGGTCACTAAACATGATTGGGCGTAAAGATAACAGGTAGTCATAATTTTGTTCGATTTTTATCAATAATGTGTCAAAACATGCTATAATTAATTTCTCCCTCAGGAAACTGAAAATGCACAAGAGAAAATGTACCAACAGCTGGTTCAAGAAACGAGGGATGTTTTAGAGAGGTAAATATTGAACGAATTGGTAATAAATCTTAATTTAAAGGTTGAATGTCAGGTAATACATTTGTACCATTATAAAGAATTATTTGCTTCAACGGTTGCCTTCCATATATACCAATTAAATCAAAATCCAATTCCTCTACAGTATACTACAGTGTAGGAACTAGCCACATCACAAAAGAGGTCATGTCCTGGTGACCTTTTACTCTAGCCAATCATTATGATGCTAACTTCTCACTATTGGAAAACCCATGTGTAAACCCCACGTTAAATATTGGGGTATAGAATGAAAGCCTTCGGTAGACAGAACATGACCTTGATATTATTTTTCAGAGGAATAGAATTAAATGAAAATTTGCCCCCTCCCCAATTTGAATGATGTCATTGACTTGGATACCATTTGTCTTTAATATCCAATAAGAGAAGATTTCATTTCAGTAGAAGATAGTACATTTGAAATAATTATAACCTCCTTATTTTTCAAATTTACAGATATACATCAATTGTTGTCACAAATATCTGTTTAACTTGCTCAACTGTAATTGGCCAGTTAATTTCAAACTTGGAACAGTATAACCTCATATACACAGCCGCAAATCTGAAAATTTTGAATCGGCGATAAATCTACATGCAAATCCAAAGTCTCAACTCTCAGAAATTTAAATACTATTCACAGAATGGCAGATAATACTGAAATTAAGCAAGGTTTGACCCATAATGTTAAAGGACCCATTCAAACTATTAGTAAATGATCATTGGAGGAGGATTGTAAATTGGTATTTTAGCTTTTCTATTTATCTTCTTTTTTTTTTTTTTTTTACAAATTTTATAAATTTATCGTAAGATGTTTAGCTAAATATACAGAAAATGAATTTTTTACTCGCAGTCCCGACTTCCATGCCGTCCTGCACACGTGTCTCAACCGGGGATTCGCTAAGCTGTTAGACAGCATGGCTGACCACTACAGGGAGGCTGCGACTGACCAGCAACAGAAGTACGTTCACATCTTCTGTTGTCACCTAATAAAACACAATGTAGAGTCTCTATACAGTTTAGCTGAAGTGTCTGATCTTTAATTTCTATGTCCATTTTGATATAATCTTTCTAAGTTTTGTGGGACTTTTATTCGCCAACCAACATCAGGAAGAAGGCTGTTAATGCTATTACTTAAACACAACAGAAGAGCTAATGAGGAGACTGTACGTGTATGGTCCACGACCTTGTTTGTCCCTAGTTATACAGGATCGTATTAAAGTTAGCAAGAACAGGTCCCTCAAAGACCTTTTGTAACTTGGTTTGCATGATCCCCTTGGTACCTGTCCACAACTTCTTCAAGAACAGAGAAGAAAGAGAAAACCAACCTACATACTCATTAACAATCCATAACCTACATACCCATAAACAATCCATAACCTACATACTCATCCATAACAATCCATAACCTACATACCCATAAACAATCCATAACCTACATACTCATCCATAACAATCCATAACCTACATACCCATAAACAATCCATAACCTACAAACCCATAAACAATCCATAACCTACATACCAATAAACAATCCATAACCTACATACCCATAAACAATCCATAACCTACATACCCATAAACAATCCATAACCTACATACCCATAAACAATCCATACCCTACATACCCATAAACAATCCATAACCTACATACCCATAAAGAATACATAATGTTTTAATGGTGGGTGGGAAGATCCCTCTAGAATCTCTTGTTAAAGTGAAATGATTCCAACTCTAGAATGATAAACTTTTCATTTTGACAAGTGGGGTATTGATGTAGTGGTTAAGTTGCTGGCCTCAGTATCACTAATATTCTGAGTTGGCTTTAAGCTGAGTTATACCCGTATTGGAGATTAAGGTTATGAACTTAGATCAAAGTCAGACTCTAGGTATTGATTGGGCATGGTCTCCATGGAGACATTTAGGGCACAATTCACCTCTTTATGAGAGAACTCAACAAGAGCAGGCTTTGACCGCTGTACAAGATAATTACTCCTTAGTGACATAAAATAATAATTGAGCAAACTATGATATAAATTGATGGAGACAGATGTTTTTTCTTCAGCAGATGAATACGTCCTCCCATTGTCATTTACCAATGTTGATAGGCTATGTTGTTTACCATTGTAAAGCCTCCACGAGGTCGGGATTCCTATGGCCAAGCTTGTTCCTGTGATGAGTGGTCTGATGTTCAAGCTGTGTAGCGACACTCCAAACCCTCTGATTCAGGTAATGTCTAAAAACTTCCATTCTGTAAACAATGACATAATATCAACTGAATTCACACCTGGTCATAGTTTAGACTGGTTTATCCAAAGCTACTTGTCTTGTTGTCCCGCTATCAAGTCACCACTAATCAGGTCGTCCCTCTAACCTCATTTATAGAATTTTAGCCAAGAATCTTGACAACACCTCGGCTCTGATCTCATTCCTATCTATCAATGATCCACTGTTAATCCACAAATGGATTTTGAACTCTGAGCAGTTTTAGCAACATACATAAATGTGCTACATGTATGAACTATAATAATTGGATGTTTTTTAACGTTTGATCAGAACCGGTACCATAATTATATTGTCCTTCTGTTTTCTTTGTAGGAGTTACTTCTACTTGACCAAACAAAGACATTGGCTGCCAATATCTACGAGGCATTTAGTCAGCAGGAAGAACTGGCAGCAATAATACAACAGGAAGTTTAAATACATCTGTATTCCCTGTTTTGGCACCAATGACAGTTCTTGTCATAGTGGTGCTTCAAAGTCTCTCTTACAAAACCTGTGCTTCAGGAAGTGATGAAATTAGTAGCAGTCCTAGTTATAAGCTTCCTACTCTTTGACCAATCAGAGCTTTGTTTTCTCACAACCTCATTGTTTCTCTGAAATTGAATTGGTTTTACAAATCTATGGAATTTTGGTATTATATTTTGTAAGATTTGTTTTGGTATAATTATATCTCTTACCTCTGTTATTCTAAAACTGTCTACTTAAACATACAGATATAATTTAAAGTTAACTTGACAAGCTAAGAAACCATTTCAGTGGATGGAAGAGCTGGACCATGGTTGTTGTGTAATTAAGGTTTACGACATAATTTCACGGTGTCAGTACTCTTTGATCAGGAAAGCTATTGTCTGGGATTTTAAGTCCATGTGTAGGTTTTGTATTAAGCCTGGGATTTTAAGTCCATGTGTAGGTTTTGTATTAAGCCTGGGATTTTAAGTCCATGTGTAGGTTTTGTATTAAGCCTGTTTCAATTAACTCCTGTAAAACAATGAGTTTACAATTGAACAAACCATTCCAACGACATAAATGATAGCACCCAGGTGTCAGAGCCTGTGTGTGAAGTATATTGTGGCCCTAGTGTCAGAATGGATTTTTACATTTCTTTTTCCTCCTACAATTAAAATTGTGGTAGGGGGGAAATCTATATACAGTATGGTGGCAATGTGAGTCTGATAGGGAAAACAATACAAAGGGTATCATGACTTTGTGTAGCGATGAAATGTATGGTTGTACAGTGTATCGGAATCCACCCACCAGTTGTTTCTAGTGTATCGGAATCCACCCCCTAGTTGTTTCTAGTGTATCGGGATGTAGATTGGTGCGAAGGTGTGTATACATGTAATTAGGAGAGAATGTGTAAATGTAAGTAGATGAGTGAGTATACATGTGTGAAGGAGTGTGTACAATGTGTATGTTGTAATGGTGGTATTTATACAGAGGTAGTGTAAATGTAAAAATCTAGTGATTTAAAGCACACTGACTGATGTTTAAATGGAATATTTGTTGAACATTCTTTTGATTTCTGTACTGGTATACTCTGTATATAATGAAAACCTGTACATTATGATACTATAATAGCCCATTTTATATAAAAAAATATATCATGAAAAACGTAATCTACATCTCATTTTTCCTCCCAAAAGAAGGTGAAGCATTATTCTAACATTATGTAGCATTTGTCTGTGTACAGACCCTAGTATATAGACGTTATGTAAGATACACAATAGGTTTGGATTATTTTGATCAAATGGCTTAAAATTTAACAAAACAATTTAACTGCAGATTATTGTAATACATTATGTATGTTTTTAGCTGAAAGGGTTGAGACCAAGTGGTAAACAACCCCAAATCCAAATTACATTTGTACTATAAGGCGACGGTAAACTCCGTTGGTGTAGCACTAGTGCAGGTTGACATTTGTACTATAAGGCGACGGTAAACTCTGTTGGTGTAGCACTAGTGCAGGTTTACATTTGTACTATAAGGCGACGGTAAACTCCGTTGGTGTAGCACTAGTGCAGGTTTACATTTGTACTATAAGGCGACGGTAAA